CAACCTGGAACAGGTTTGTTTGTTTTCGTGCGTTTTGCGCTGTGCAACAGCTCCGCAAAACGCATGTTGTCACGGGATTGTATGTGCTTGTATGTCCGATTCATTTTGTCCACAGCTTTCAGGTCGGGAACCACAAAAGCTAGGAAGCTGGTAATTTAGGGGAATGTTCCCACCTACATGTTGCCCCGTTCCCCAGTTTAATTTCAGCCTTCTCTTGCTGATGGGTACCACGCACGACCCCATGAAAGTTTTGGCGGGAAAAATTATTGTTTCGGAACTAGAAAGTCAAGAAGCTGAAATTTTACTCCAGTATCTCCTACCTACATACAGCGCCGCAAATTTAAATTCAGCCTTTCCGTGCGCCGAGGTATCACATGCGACCCCGTGAAAATTTTGGCGAGGAAGGTATTACGTCGTGAACCACAAAAGCAAAGAACCTGAAGTTTGGCGCGAAAATCATCCGAAAGCCAGAAAACCAGGTGGCTGAAATTTTGGGAGGATGTTCACCGTCCAAGGTTTCAAATTCGGCTCCCACGTAGCAGTACGTGAAATTTTGAGTGGAAAATTTTGCAGCTTAAGAACTAGACAATATTTAAAATATTTTTGCACAGACCAGAATGCAGAGCATTGGAAATCCGGCAACTACTAAAGCTCGGCTCGCCTCGCCTCGGCTTGATCTCGGCCGGCTTCGACTCACCTTGGCCAGCCTCGGCAGCTGAACAGTTTGTGAATTCACTCGCAAACCGTGTAGTAGGAGGCAATGATGGGGACGGGGGAGTGGGACAGTGAGGGAGGGGAGGCACAGGAGGGGGAACGGCGCGAAAGGGGTGGGGGTTAGGAAGGGGTCGGGTGGGGAGACCGTTGTGCGAGGATGGTAGCGGCATGTAAGAGAGGGTAATTAGGTGGGGACGCCGAGTGGCCACGTTGGGGATAGAGGAGAGGGGATGGTGGGTGGAAGGAAGCGAGACCCGTATTGGTGGTTTTGTCGCGATGCACAGTGTGTGGGAAGAGCTCCGGAGAGATGTACACTGTAGACG